TTTCCGTACCCACTGTATATATATATATATATATATATATATATATATATGAGAAAATATCTGCAGTGTAAAGAATATTTTACCAGGTCTCGAACCCAAAGAGCTTATGACCCAGTTTCAAAACAGCAAAACAATAAAACACATCGTATCATATCCTATATAAAGATGCATTCTCACTGGATTAAGTGTGAACATTAAAGTGAAAAACAGTAGTTCCACTTAAATAAAATTTAAAAAAAAAAAACCTCTACCAAACATATAAAATGAAATATGTAGAAATTGAGATTCATGAATATGAATGAGATCTATGAATATTCATTCTATCAATAACTACAAAATAATCACTCATTAAGCTTATTGCATTAACCAAAATAACAAATCATAATTTACAATGCATTATAATATCATACAAACTCAAAAGTCATTTGTCGGTGTGTCAGCAGTATAATAAACTCATCAGGAAATAGAAGGATTATCTGCTTTGCTTGCAAAACCTTCCCACCCACAATTACAGCTAATAATATTTCGATCACACTGACTATTTATTATAGATACTGTGGGGCAAAAGCAGTAAATCAAAGTGTGCAATGTGAAAGTTCATAATACAGTAGCTTAATACGACCCTCAAGGTGATGCTATACACACCTAGTGAGCTGCCTATGTAGTCAGTATGTTCAAGCAGCATTTCACGCTTTGCTATATGGCGGACAAAGCGGAAGGAATTTAAATATACATTTTATTAAATACAGAGAAGTACCAGTAAAAGTAATTTAAATGTAGCCTAATGTAATTTAAATGCGGTTTACATGAGCGCTGATTGAGTTGATTACAATGCAGAGCCACTTTTGAGCCTAGCTACAATTCTGTTTTTATGCGAACACTATGGTATTTTTAGGGTATTTTCGTCATCAGCACTTTGCAGTAATTAGTACACTGAACCAGGCCGTTGTTTCACAGTTGGAAAAGAAACGGAGGAGACTGAATAAGAACAACAACAAACTGCTGACTGTGCGCCTGCGCTAAACCAAAGTATGCTTCTGGGCTTTCTAAGCAGGCAGCTCACAAGGTTTTATAACAGAGGGCAACAGCAGCATGTGGAAAAGGAAAATAATGGCCATCTCCCATTCTGAGCATTTAACCAGCAGTCCGTCAGTGAAGCGACAAAAGTCTGGAAACAGGAAATGCCACCTGATACCAGATAGAGCACAGGACGGAACACCGGAAGTACTGAGACTATCACAATCCATGCTGAAACGCTTGGAGAGCCAGATCTCAAAGAAAGGATGTGATTGGCCGAGACACTCGGGCTGCTTTCCCTCTGGTCCTCTCTCGGCTGCCGCTGGTTTGTTTAACCCCTTAAATTCTGTACATCAAAACAAAAATTAAGTGATTTAATAACAGATTTACATTTCAAATAATGTCTTTTGACAAAAGTATTCTTTTATAAATATCACACATGCCATTTTTATGGTTTAGCTTATTATTAATAGATATTAAAGGAATAGTTCACCCAAAAATGAACATTTGATGTTTATCTGCTTACCCCCAGGGCATCCAAGATGTAGGTGACTTTGTTTCTTCAGTAGAACACAAATTATGATTTTTAAGTCCAGCCGTTGCAGTCTATCAGTCGTATAATGCATGGCAATGCTAACAAAATCTATGAGAGTAAAAAAAAACATGCACAGACAAATCCAAATTAAACCCTACGGCTCGTGACGACACATTGATGTCCTAAGACAAGAAACGATCGGTTTGTGCGAGAAACCGAACAGTATTTATATCATTTTTTACCTCTAATACACCACTATGTCCAACTGTCTTTGGGCGTGTGCACGGCATCCGGTGCGTGAGGTGTGTACGCGCTCTGGCGTAGTTTACGCAAGCGCCGGAAGTGATCTCTCGCGCGTATACGTCACTCATTGTTTACACAGTGCACAGTCATTGTAGGTACGACGGCTAATCAAAATGGTACTTACTTGCGCTTATCCGGATTGTTCAAACCGACTTAAAACTAAAAGATTACATTTCTCGCGCGAACTCATTCGGGAGTGGTGACTTTCCACGTATTCCCAACTTCTGAGCCTGCTCGCCTGAAGTTATGGTTGATTGCTCTTCGGCTGGATATCAACACACCCTTTAACGTAAACTACGCCAGAGCGCGTACACACCTCACGCACCAGATGCCGTGCGCGCGCTGAAGGCAGTTGGACATAGTGTTGTATTAGAGGTAAAAATTATATAAATACTGTTCGGTTTCTGGCACAAACCGATCGTTTCGTGTCTTAGGACATCAATGTGTCGTCACGAGCCGCAGGGTTTAATTTGGATTTGTCTGTGCATGTTTTTTTTACTCTCATAGATTTTGTTACCATTGCCATGCATTATACGACTGATAGACTGCAACGGCTGGACTTAAAAATCATAATTTGTGTTCTACTGAAGAAACAAAGTCACCTACATCTTGGATGCCCCGGGGGTAAGCAGATAAACATCAAATGTTCATTTTTGGGTGAACTATCCCTTTAAGGAATATTAGTACATTTAAAGACATTAAAATAAAATTATCTTGTCACACTGCAGGCAGTATCTGATATACTAATATTTTGAATTAGATTTCATTTTTATATATCTGTAATTATTTTAGTTAAGGTTTTAGCCATTTTGTTGTTTTTTATTGTATTTTATTTTTTACTTTTTTAATAAAAGTATTCATCAATTAGTATGTATTACTTTTAGTTTATTTAGTAGTTATTTTAGTTCTTCAAGTTAAACTAAATGAGCAATATCACACAAGTAGCAGTGCGACATGGCTGTATATCAGCACGGCTGTGATTCGACTGTAGACACGAAGCCTTGTTTACAACCCTGTTTCACTCTCTTTCAATATAAAAGTCTTTACTGCTGACTCACTCATAAAAAAAGGAGCTCTGATATACAGCATTAAAGTTACATGAAATATAACATGATGAGATTTTGCCCTCAGCCAAAACTATGTGCTCTGGAAGAAATAATAGATTAATGAGACCAAAACGACACTCGCTGTGAGAAATAGTGCAAGCGGAGTGAAACAAACGGTGAAACGATTGAAGTGCTGTTGTCACTAGAATATCGCATGGCTGGAAAAGGCTCTCAGCCAATCTGATTTGAGGACCAGAAAGAACTGTTGTATAAATAAAAATATGAAATGTTGCCCTGACAACTAGCTGAAATAAAGTTAGTTTAATTTTTTAAAATAAATTGTATTTTATTTTATGTTTATTTTGAGTAAAGATTTTTTTATGGGTTTAATTAATGATAATAACCCTATGTTCCTGTGGCTCAGTGGTAGAGCATTGCGCTAGCAACGCAAAAGGTTGTGGGTTTGATTCCCAGGGAACACACATACTGGTAAAAAACCTGAATACACTGGAAGTCGCTTTGGATAAAAGCGTCTGCTAAATGCATAAATTATTATAAATAATGTTGTATTATATATGAGCAATATTACACAAGTAGCAGTGCGACATGGCTGTATATCAGCACGGCTGTGATTCGGCTGTAGACACGAAGCCTTGTTTACAACCCTGTTTCACTCTCTTTCAATATAAAAGTCTTTACTGCTGACTCACTCATAAAAAAAGGAGCTCTGATATACAGCATTAAAGTTACATGAAATATAACATGATGAGATTTTGCCCTCAGCCAAAACTATGTGCTCTGGAAGAAATAATAGATTAATGAGACCAAAACGACACTCGCTGTGAGAAATAGTGCAAGCGGAGTGAAACAATGAATGAAACGATTGAAGTGCTGTTGTCACTAGAATATCGCATGGCTGGAAAAGGCTCTCAGCCAATCTGATTTGAGGACCAGAAAGAACTGTTGTATAAATAAAAATATGAAATGTTGCCCTGACAACTAGCTGAAATAAATAAAGTTTAATTTTTTAAAATAAATTGTATTTTATTTTATGTTTATTTTATTTTGAGTTTAATTAATGATAATAACCCTATGTTCCTGTGGCTCAGTGGTAGAGCATTGCGTTAGCAGCGCAAAAGGTTGTGGGTTTGATTCCCAGGGAACACACATACTGGTAAAAAACCTGAATACACTGGAAGTCGCTTTGGATAAAAGCGTCTGCTAAATGCATAAATTATTATAAATTATAACCCTGACTACAGAGTATAGTCAATAGGTGATTACAAATGCTTAAAAAAGAATTGTGCATTTTATATAAATATCAAAATATTCACACCTTCCTCTTCATAAATGAGACCCTTGTTAGTCTGTCCACCCTCTGCATGAGTTCATGGACCCATTTTTCTCTGGGGTCGGTGCAAATCATACGGCCACGTTTCATTGTGAAGCTGCGGAGAGATGATTGCATTAAACATCATTAACTATGAGGTTTAAAATAGACAATCACATATAAAAGACAGATATCTCTTCTGTGGTTCACTGCAGTGCAATGCATTTTATGGCATCCCTTCACTTTGTGTCACATGTCTCTCTGAGTGTCAGTCATGATTCCAAAGAAGTCTAAATATTTTATTAAAACCCAACCAGATTCTTATATTATATACCTAAAACATAATCTAAAAGGTCTTACATATACAGCCGTGGTCAGAATTACTAGCACCCTTGGTAAAGCAAAGAAGGCTATGAAAATAAATCTGTACTTTTATTTAGCTGTATTTCACAGCCTTCTTTGCTTATATTTACCAAGTAATATATAAATGTTGCTTACACAACAGCTGGGATGTTGCAGCCTCCGTCCAGCTCTAGTTTTCTGTAGCTGATCACTCTGTTCCTCGTAGACGGTTTAATATTTTTGACATACTGCAGACAGCAGTCCTCATACGAGCCTACAGACAGACAGACATACACATCAATGGCATAAAAAACGCATTTGCATCAATGAATCATAGCATAACTATTTTTGCAGATTGATGATTTAGTGAATGTGTCTAATAAAACCATAAATAGTGGCAAACAAGGAAGGGATGGAAAAACAACATGGGTGCTTATCATATGAGAACTGTTAACAGAGCCATAGAAGTGAAACTGAATTCAATAACTGTTCAAAGTACACACATACAAAATGTTTAGTAACCTCTAAGTGACTTATTTTTAAATTACTATTACAGGAACATGGTGAGGCGGACACACTGTTATCAGTACTTTTACCATTTCTATTATTTCTTTTATATTTTTTCAATTAATTATTTGCTTTATTGTACAAAACAGAAGAGGATAAATGGGAGTAATATTATCATTCCATTACTGTTTACTATATGTATATATGCAATAGGAATAAAAGCACTCAAAAATCACTTAAAATTACACTGTATTTAACAGGTTTTTACTGTAGCATTTTTACAGTCTTTTACCGTTAAATTCACGGTCATTTTTTACAGTGTATGACAGATGCTGTAAAAATATACTTTAAAAATAATAATATATAAATAGCATAATTAAATATCATTTAAATATAATACAAATCATGCAACAAATATGTATGGATATGACAAAAACTAATGATTACCAAACTTTACATTGCATGTGTGATTTTAATTAACATTTAGAATGATGCGATTTAACACTGCTGCACCAGTAAATACATCAATTTGTTTTTCCTTTAGAATTCGTTTGAACAGGCAAAATACACCCTGACAATTTGATTTTGAAATGTAAAAATGTATTCAATTGTTGTTGTTCTGAACTTTGAAGAAGTGTTTTCCGTGTAAAAGAATCTGATTATTTGTAATACAATCATCACATGTGAGTTTTACCTTGTGCCAGTGTGAGGTAGAGGAATCCCAGGAGGACGATGAAGAAGAGGATGCTGAACCGCATGATTTCCCAGTGTCTCTACTGTCAAAAATGAGTAAATCATGAATCCCAGTGTCTCTACTGTCAAAAATGAGTCAGAAAATCATGAACTGCTTCACCAGATACACTCACAAACACATGCCCACACAATAGATGCTCTTACGAGAGCCTCCATAAACCTTATCAGCACCGAAGATACGTTTTCCAACATACTTATCCTCGTTTCTCCGGCCTTGACCCTTGGACATCATAAGAAAGCTCTTTGTGTTGTCAAAAAAACCAGTTAAAATTATGACAGATGCTGTAAAAATATAATTTCATCATCTCTGAACAAAACAAGCAACAAAGACAAACCTACACATTTTATGAGAAGAAAACGAAGACAAAACAGAATGCAAGCTTTGTGGATGAACACATTAATCTTAATTTATCTTTAGTAAATCATTAATGAATATTGACCTGTGTTACAGTTTTTTTCCGGTCACTCCAACACATGCAGTAAAACCGCAATAATCACTATGTCAAATTTACTTGGAAACCCAACAGGTGAAGGTCAGCATTTCAAAGAGAAAACAAAAATCGTATAGTTTTGTATCATAAAAGAGTTTAGATCTTTGAAGCATTGCTGTTAAACATTAGATGCTGTAAAAATGATGTTGTTTTCGTACTAGACTGCTCACCTTGTTTGTATAGAAAAGCGTAGTTTCTTCCCAGTACCAGGATTCTGTGCACGTTTCCCAGCTGCATTGACTTATAATGGGCCCAACCCTGATACCTGAGCCAGGTGAAGCCACATCCCTCACAAGGAAATGATGGGACATTATGAGATCAACTTTCATGGTTGGTTAAATGAAAACCACAGTAACCGATTTGTCTATCAGGATTTTGTATTTATTCCCTTTGATTCTGATGCGGCTAACCAACATATTAGTTTAAATGAATAGAGAAATGTAGCATCACATCACTTGCTCACCAATGGATGCTCTGCAGTGAATGGGTGCCGTCAGAATGAGAGTCCAAACAGCTGCTAAAAACATCACAATAATCCACAAGTAACCCACACCACTCCAGTCCGTCAAGAAAGGCAAAAAGCTGCATTGCATTATTCCGTTAACTGTTGAATAATAGTTAAAACAGTTGTTTTTAATAGGAATGAAACTCATGTGTTACTGCTATTTAAAGCATTCATTGCAATTTCTTTCAGCTTTATGCTACTGCTTCTGTTGCCGAATAATAAAAATAGCAATTTACGGCCAACAAATTTAAAAGTTGCTTTGGATAATAGCATCAGCTAAATCCATAAATGTAAATAAATGTAACATGTAAATAAAACCATGTACTGCACGCATTTAGTTTTCATTGTTTTGATTAAAAATGAAAAAGATGCAAGTTCTCATGCACAGAAAAAAGGTGTAAAAAGAATTTCCACTCAAAAATTGCTAATAAATTTCACAAACAATGAAATAAACATGAAGTTTTAAAAGTGTAAAACATATTCCAATAATCTTTGTTTAATTTACAACTTTGAAAAATCATTTTTACAGACTATTTTGTTTCCAAAAAATAATAAAAAGTACAGTTAAAATGGAAAATTGTAAATCATGTATGATCTTCTGAGCCTTCAGAAGCTATATGATAGCTTTGTGTGAGATTTAAGTCATTATTTATGAAAATGTTTCATTACACCAATCAAATCTGTAACAGTAACAATACATGCAAATATGTATAAACCGCACACAGTATTAATCATTAGGAAGTGAATGCAAAAATATTCAGTAGCTGTTTTGAGTTTTATCACATGACAAACAGGGTTATGAAGTATAAGCACAGGCCAAAAACTACTATAACTACTATATTTTTTAAATTAAGCAACATATTAAAGCATGTTTGTTTGGCTTGCATAGTGCAACAAGCTGCCTTATTCATGCATATTTGATGATGATCATTCAGTTCTTGCCAGGAAACACAATTATGGCACAAATTTGGGCCTTGCAGCGTTTTAAGAAATGTAAGCCAAACACGGAGCTGTTTAAACTTGACTTGTGTTGAATGAGACTTCTAGCATTTTGCAACTGCACAAAAAAACGAGTGACTGGAGAAAGTGCATCAGATTTCAACCACCAAAGAAACAAACACGCTTCAGCTTAAAAGCACAGATGTTATAGCATATCATGTTTCCTACTTTAAGTTTCCTTAACCTTTTAGCGTGGCATCTTAATGAGCGACATTTTACTTTCTGATTGTCAGGTTGCTGTTATGTAAGTTTCTTCTGTTTTTCTAAGCTTTGACTTCAGTTTGAACAGGGAACCTGTAAAAGAGTTTCATGGACTGAAATTCAAAATATGTAAATACTACAGAATACTATCGAAATGAATCTGGATTAATTTTACGGTTAAAAAATTACCAGAAATATTAGGCTACATGTTATATTATTATGCTATATTAAGTACTTTTAGTGAAATAAAAAAACACTTAATAATAACTGGGAATAACATTTATTCCCTTTCAGTTAACTTTTTATTGTAGAATTCTTATGATAAGCCATAAAACTGATGATAAAGAGGAGGACAAAGACATGACTGTGAGAATATATGATTGCTTTTTTGTAACAGTGCAAATAAGAGAAGATAATCCTAATTGATATATTGAAGTATTGATACATTGACACTGAACCTGCACTTAAGTCTTTTTTGTCTATATGAGTCATATGTTGATTCATTCGCCGCTCTGCCGGATTCGAGTTCATTTGCTAAACGGTTCGTCAGAAAGATTCATTAGAGTGATTTGACTCCTGAGTTTGTGAGTCTTTTGAACGATTCATCAAGAGAATCAAATCATATGAGTCATCGTGAATCGAACTACATAGGTCACGTAATCGGGCCGAACTGATTCAAACACGGCGAGGAGTTGCATTTCTGTGTGAACTGTTTTTTTTTTCTTTCTAGTATAATACAGTATTTTTTACGTTACGTGTATAATATTATGTCAGTAAATGTCCTTTTACCCAAAGTCCTTTTAAGAAGTCATGTCACTTGGCGGCCATCTTTGAAACGCCTCTCGGGCATGCAAGAGCAACTCCTATCTCTTTGAATGGGGAAACTAACATTTCCGTCTCACGCTTGAGGTATTCGGCCAATCATAACGCACTGGATAGCTGGCCAATCAGAGCACACCTCCTTTTTTAGACCGATGAGCTTTGTAAAAATCGATGCGTTTCAGAAAGGTGGGGCATAGAGGAGAAACAATAATGTACAGTATGTGGAAAATAATGTGTTTTTTTAACCGTAAACCGCATAAACACATTTCATTACACCAAATACACAAAATAATGTTATTTTTAGCAGCATCATATGACCCCTTTAAAAGTTTTTAGTGCAGCCCGCGAGGAGTAGCCATGTGGAAACAGTGCTGTGAATCTGTGCACTGGAAAGTCGCAAGCCATAGTTTGAAAACCATTGCTACTGTAAATGCTGGAATTGTTATTTTAAAGGTTTTTAAAGTGATTTTTTTAAGTTAAAAATGTCTTGATGGATTTGTTTCTTACAAACACGCGCCTTTTGGCTTTACAGCATGCTAACTGATGAACTGGAGTGGTGTGGATTATTGTGATGTTTTTATCAGCTGTTTAGACTCTCATTCTGACGGCACCCATTCACTGCAGAGCATCCGTTGGTGAGACAGTGATGAAATGCTACATTTAGCCAAATCTGTTCCTAAGTCACATATTAAAGCATGTTTTCACAGTTTAAATACTGGAACATCAATGTTTCTAATTCACGCATGTTTTTTGATGATCATTCAGTTATTGCCAGGTATTATGTAAAGAAAAAAAAAGTGTATACATTGCAAACCATATGAACAATAAATGCATTAAGTATGTTGTTACTCTTAGTTTGTACAGATTCGTATATGAAGGCATTTGGCCCGCATAGTACCAAAAATAACTAAAACTATAACAAAACTAAAAACATCAGGGACTTTTTTCAGGCATTTATTTCCCAAGCTGTTCTCTATCTCAGGTTGTATCATGTTCTGACAGCGTTTTGCATCATATTTCAAACTCTTCTGTCACCACGACATTAAACCATGTGTTCTAAATGTGTTGTCCCTTTGGCCCCTTATTTCCATTTAAGAGTCGTCTTGAGACGCCAGAGCTTGATGTGGGAATGTGGGATCTGTAAGTGGCCATGTGATAGCGTGGGTCACTGTTTATGATGTCTCATTTTCTTCAGAGCGCCCACTGAGCCATAGCAAGAGCTCAATCAGTTTGCCTTTGACAGAGTTTTCTTTTGTTTCTTTCTCACGGGATGCAATGATTTCTTTTTCTTTCGTTTTTAAGTGTTATT